CCCTCGATTCCCGTTCCACAGTAAGGTAACGAACAAGAATTGAGGCGAGTACTGTTGTCACAACTGGTATTAGGCTAATACCCCTGTGGTTAGCACAGTCGGTGTGACTACCCTTGTATATTGCCACTATAATCGATTCACTCGTTACTCGGGAGGGTCTCTTCCAGATATGTTTGAACAGGGAGGTCGGTACTTTGTAGAAGACCTCATCACCATCCTGAACTGGTGCAGGAGGGAGGGACGGAATCCGGGTCAGCAACACGAAAACGCTTGGGGGCTATGGTCACGTTTCGGAACAACCTCTGATGGAGGCTCTAACCTAACTGTTCATGGCTCATCTCGCATCACCTAAGTTGAAAGACGCCTAGGAGCAGGGGGCTGACTTGAGTGATCCGCCCAATGAGCGATACGGCGCTCCTTGTTGTGAGTAATAACACCCGCTCTGTCTCACTGACGCCTGGTTTCTTGGGATCGGTGGTGCGCTCAGTTGAAAGGGCTTGCGGTAATTACCTACGGCTCCCGCCTCCTCCATTCCTTGAACCCGATTGGTCCACCAGGCTTTCTTGTTAGCACCCAGGCTCCCCTCGCAACGAGACTGGACCTTAGCTTGGTGCAGTGGTTTGCTTACCCCCGTGACCCACTGAGCTATGCTGGGTAACCCTTTCCAGGTACCTTCAGCGCCACTCATATCAGATATGTCAGTGTTTAGGGGTCAGACAAACACACCGGTGGAATGACCTCGGAACGCGTCGTGGTTGTACAGTCTTTTCGGGCGGGAAACAGCCAATTTCCAACACCGACCCTCTTCGGAGGTTAGGGAGAGGTTGATGGCCTTCTCCCTCTTAAACCTCGCTATGGGTTTACGGGTTATAAGCTCACCGTTCAATTGGCGTAATGCACGGGCGCCGCGCATTGTCTCTGGCTTTTGGAGGACACCTTCGAGTGCTCAATGGTTTGATATCGCCCACCTCAAGCTAGACAGCTCTTGATCAAATTGGTGAAAACCCACCTGCGGCTGGCCGTGGTCGCAGCTGCGTAACGTAATAAGCTCGTAAAACGTGTGACAGGTCTCAAGCAGATTTGATTGTCTGCAATCACACTCCCGAGCCGGACTTGCTCCGCACTGCCTTATGGGTCTAGATATTGAACCAAAGGCTGCGGGTGGAGTCGCCCAAGCGAACCTCCATATACCCCACTGCCTTGTGTGTCAGACTGTTGAGTCATAGGCTAGAGGCAGGGCACATTGAACAAAACCCGTCTTTCGGAATGGGCAGCCGGATTGTATCATCTGGTTTCTCGACCACATCGATAATATCCCCTTCTTGTTTTTCCCTCCCCCTCTCTTCTCTGTTTATTGAACACGAGACTGCCTCCGACCTCGCAGCTGCTAAGTGTATCAAATCTTGTGTTACTTTTCACATTGGTTCTTTTAACGTCTGCACTCTAGGTCAGGTCGGCCAGCAGGCAGCACTGGCTCTTACTCTTCACTCTCTTGACATTGATGTGTGCTGTCTCCGAAACACGCATACAAGTTAAATAAAAATAATGTGTCAGCTATACGCTATAACAGCGCTTCGCTGCCGCACGACCACCACAAGATAACAGCGTTGTGACAAATATTCGACTCCCTGCTTTTGTATCTAACGACCGTGACTACATTCTTCTCGTCTCTGGCGGTACCGAGTAAATGGCCCAAGGTATTTATGGTGTTGGTATTGCCTACAGCAAACATGCTGAAGACACTGCCCGACTGGATACTGGTGAACAGCCACGTCTGCGCGGTTCGACTTCGAACTACTATTAGCGCTAATAAGCCGCGCCTGAAGCCAAGGTGCCTTTACATCGCATCAGTTTATGGCTCTACTGAATACAGTTCAGAAGGTATTCAAGATGATTTCTATCGACAACTCCCATCTCTTTTTTGCGTAGCGAAGAATACCGACATCATGATTTTTGCTGGTGTCGTGGATGCCCAAGTGGGTCATCTTTCAGACTGAGCAGTACCTGGGACGGCGCTTCGGAGTCGATGCACGCCGAATAGATAATGTTGATCGATTCCTGCAGCTGTGCGCTGACCACGACATTTACTTCAGCAATACTGCTTTCCAGCACAACGGTTCCCACCGCGTCACCTGGCGCCCACCAAATCCCCTATGACCTGGACCCAAATTGACCATATTGCCATCAGCAACAGATGACGCACATCAGTCCAAAACTGGCGGTCAATTTGGAGCACGTGCCTGAATTCCGACCATGCTCTAGTGCGCTCACGCTTGGTGCCCACTCTTCCTGCTTCAAAGAGGCGTCTATCTTCTAATCTTCTTACTTGTAACTTGAACTAGGAATCTGCAGTTCAACAATATCATGACGAACTGGCCTACCAATTGTCAGGGATGAATGAGGTTGGTGAATCGAACGCTTATTGGAATCATCTCAAATGTACCATGATGTATGTGTTTGACGCATGAGGTGCACCCAACTTGAGACGTAACTTAGGCATCAATCAGCTTGATCGAAGCATGGAGACAAGTTCCAATTGGCATTGAGTTTCAGCGTGTTCGTAACTCTGAAAAGACGCAATGCAATGAGTCTTCGAATCGGCTGGGAACGTTGGTTGATCGAAAGATCCTATGAGATGGAGAAAGCCAGTGCTGTTGGTAACAGCCGAGTTCTCTTCCATCTCATCCGGAAAAAGGTCCGAGAGAACCATCCGTTAGCGACACAATAGCTGAGGAAGACGGGCCTCTGATCCATTCACAGCGTCGTCGAGGGAACCTTTTGAAGAGCAGTTCAGCAGACCTGCTGCGACATAGCCGAATCGCCTGAGCCGACGTGGACAGTAGATATCACACTCCTCTTAGAAGAGATTCGACATGAGCTTTCCGTGTTGAAACGAACCAGGGATTCTGAACCCGACGACTTCCCCCTATCTTTGCTGAAAGATGGGGGTAACTCTGTTGACTACACTCGCTACTCTATTTAACACTATTTAGAAAACAGAAGAGGTTCCTTCAAACTGACGACTGTCATCTGTCGCGCCCATCTTCAATTAGGGTTAGCGTACTTTATGCGAAAATCATTGGGGCATCAGTCTTGTTTCCATTGCACCCAAACTCCTCACGGGTATTATTCTTGGACGACTTACTGGTCCCCGTGCGAACTGAATCACTGAAAGCCTGGTTGGATTCCGCGCTTGTGGTTGTATCGACCACATATTTACTCTTCGCCAAGTGTTGGAAAAGAGACAGACATACAGAGGACCGACAACGTTGGTTTTCCTTGACTTGAAGGCTGCCTTCGACTCTACTGACTGTGCCGGCTTGTGGCACTGCCTATCCATGAAGGACGTGCCGGCTAAATTCCTTTCCATTCTTAAGTCCTTCTACCGCAACTCTCGATGCCTTGTAATGGTCTACGGGAAACGGTCTCCTGAGTTCCTCACAACAAGTGGGGTTCGCCAGGGTTGTCCTATATCTCCTTTCCTTTTCAACTTTGTTATCGAAATGATCATAAGTGACTCCATTCTTTCCAACCCTACCAGGTGACCGACTAAAAAACCTGGAGTATGCGGACATAGCTCTCCTTGGGTCTGACACAGTGGCTATGCAAACACTGCTGGATAGACTGACACCTAGCGCTGCACACTTTGGCATGTGCTTTGCACCTTCAAGTTGCAAAGTACTGCTTCAGGACTGTGATGACACACCTCCGATTCTGTCGCTGAACAACTACTGGAAGTGGTGGATCGCTTCTCTTACCTTGATAGCTGTGTCAACTCTGGTGGTCACCTCATTAAGGAAGTTACTTCGCGTATCAGCAAGGCCCGTAGTTCTTTCTAGGTAATCCACCGTCAGTGGAGACGGCGGGATATCAGCCTGTCAGCGAAAGGTAGCGTGTGTAACGCTCCGCTTTAGCTTGCGTCTAATAGTCCATCTGGTAATATTATGCTCAGTGCCAGTCGGGCGTTTTCTTCTAGATTCCAACGTCTTCACTGACCTATCGAATATCCAGTGACTGGTGCGGTAACAACTGATAGTACCACAAACAGAGGCTACCGCATCATGCATGGCGGCCGAGATCCTGTTCCACTGTAGCTCAGTGTCATTAGGACAAGAGAGCGAAATTTCAGTGCACAATGCTTCCTAATAGACTTGCCTGACCGATGACTGAGATAACTTCTCTCAGTTGCCAATCGAAAGAGACGCTTGATACACTTCCCGGTAAAGTTCATGGAAAAGCGACAGCGTACCAAGGCATCACCATAAACACACGCTAGCTGAGGGTGAGGAACACGCCTCAGCTAATGTGCCACAATACAAGCATGATCAGAGTCGACCCAAGGACTCCAGAACGGGCGACAATCCAGCATGGAACTACGCAACAGTAATGTGATCTACTTTGGTCAGCTA